GAAATGTTTGGTGCAGAAAACATTTCAGTGGAAATCTAAAGTCAAAAAGTCCAATAAAATAAAAGTGCTTGTTTTACTTTTTAGAAGATCCCTTTAAAAATTAATTTATTAAACTTAAGGAAATTATTAAGGGGAAATTTCAGTCCCTAAAACTACAGTCAACGAACAACAAAAATGATTTGTGTGTCTGTTAATAAAACTGAAGTTAAAGGACTTGACTCTGCCCTGGCAGCTGTACCGTTATTCTGAGTCACATGTGACTGAGGAGGAAAAACAAAACTGGTCAAGCTCGTCAGATCACGAGAACAACTAGACATGGGTTTTTACGATGTAAAAACAAGTGTGCATTGCCATGTAGCATGTCATTGCAGCATGGCTTTGCCTGCAGCATTGGACTTGCAGAATGAGCTTTGACCAAGTTCAAATGTGTTTTCTATACCAGCTTGTGCCTGTCACGTCAGCAGGTGTTTGTAATTAAGGTAATTGTGTGACAATATGAAGTTGGAGGTGATTTTTTGTTAAAGTTGTTTTAGCTGGGTTTTAAACCCTGATCTCCCACATGAAAGTCCATGACATAGACCATTAGACCAATGGAGCTGTGGCAGAGTGTGGTGGCAGGGGTTGGTTTGTATGTGTGCAGAAAGAGGCCACATTGCCAATACAATTATTGACACAAAAATGCATAATATAACAATAGAGCAGTATTAAGACAATATTATAGTAAAACATCAAAATACAATCATTTTAGTATTGTAAACACTGAACTATTGAGATTAAATATTAAAAACTATGGTGCAGTACCAAGTTGAGTACAGCTGGGGGCAGTATTGGACCATTACAAGGCCCCATTGACTCCCATTATATGAATTGGGAATAAAGTTTAAACATTAATATTTCAAAAACGATAAGTTGTACAGGCACCAAAAGACATAGCCATCATTTGGCACAGGGGATTTACAGATATATTACAATGGCAGCTCTAGGACAAAGTATGCAGGAGGAGAAACATGGCAAAGTTGAGATAACTTGGATGGGAAACGAATCATAATAGTGTGCATTGCATTGGCAACGCACACTGAATAGATCAAAATAAATGGAGCAAATTACTTTCATTTGTTTTAAAATAAACAATGAAATGGTTTTTGTAACTAAACGGATAAGGTGAAGCTGTAATCAGGCTGTAACTAATAAAAGCTTAGAGGCCAACTGAAATGGACCAAACAAGTGATTCGTTTTCCTCATAAGTTACAAAAAAATAGCTTTTCTTAACATTAAAATCTTTACTTGTATTTTCTCACATTACCTGGAGAATTATAGACAAAATCTGACTGGTTTGCAGTTCAATATTCTAACATTTTAAAAACAACAGAGGTGCAGATAGCTGCTCAACATTTATAGAGCCAAACAAAAACACACAGGATTGAAACGTGATCTTTTTTTTCTAACAGCAGCCACTTCACTCAGTTTCACAGTGGTTCAGTTTTGGTTCAACAGCAAAGTGTAATCAGTTAAAACATACCTGGCTCATTTAAATTCTGAATAATCCATTTGAGTAATGTGCTTTTTGTTTTGTAACTCAAACCACACGCTTTAAATTTAAAATGGAGGGAAATGGAGCTCTGAAACCTCAGGTCTCAGAAAGTTTAGTTAATTTGAAGATTTCCAGTCTGTACTTAAACTAAACTCATCTGAGGCTGAGGGCTTTGCTAGTTACTGACTTGTAGAAAAAAATACAGTTTTGCATACGAGTGCTTACCTGGTTCCGAGCAGTTCTTTGGCTCCGTCTCATTTTCTGATACAAAGGCCATTAGTCTTCTCCCCCAGTGCTCAAGGTCTGGATGCACCTCCACAATCATCCCGTGTCCTAAAACAACAGAAACAGCTCAGGTTAATAAATGAATACAGCATGAAGAGTATTGCAGGGGTTAATCCTCCTGCAGTACATCCCTCACTGTATACAGCAGGTAAAATAAGTATTGAACACGTCACCATTTTTCTCAGTAAATATATTACTAGAGGTGCTAATGACATGAAATTTTCACCAGATGTCAGTAACAACCCAAGTGATCCATACATACAAAGAAATCAAACCATAAATGTCCAGAAATGAAGTTATTTGTAATAATGTGGAATGGCACAGGGAAAAAAGTATTGAACACATGAAGAAAGGGAGGTGTAAAAAGGTGTAATACTGGGAGAATATAGTC